TTGTGGGGTACCATGTGAGATAAAAGACAAATAGGCTCTTTCTTACCAAAGATGAGAGGCATGACCGGAAGCTCGAGTGGTTTCTCCGGTGCACCAACCATGACAAGTATTCCCTTATATCTAAGCAAACCAAGAAGGGGAAGAAGCGGATGGGTCGCGGATACGGTATCGATTATACCATCCATAGTCTCCATTGCATCCTTCATTTGTTCCGGGTCACGGCTTACCAAGAAGGCATCCGCACCAAGATGATTTATCGCTTCGTCTTTCTTACTCTCCGAAGTACTAATAACCGTAACTTTAGTACCCATAGCCTTAGCAAATTTAACAGCTACATGACCTAAACCGCCTAGTCCCACCACACCAATATGCATACCGGGCTTGTCGAGTCCGTGGTATTTTATCGGTGAATAGACCGTGACTCCGGCGCAAAGTAGCGGCGCGGCAGCATCTAACGGGAGATTTTCGGGTATACGGATGATGTAATCCTCTTCACATACCATGTGGTCGGAGTAACCACCATGAGTCATGGTGTCGTCATAGTACTTGGCTCCGGACGTTAGGATCATTTTTGGACAGTAGTTCTCTTGGCCATCGGAACAACTGTCACATGACCGGCACGAGCTAGACATATAACCAACTCCGACTTTGTCTCCGGCATTGAATTTGGTCACTTTGGCTCCCACTTCAGTAACCACGCCAACGATCTCATGCCTGAAAACAATTTAATTCCGATTAAATTTTAATTACAAGAGAAAATCACATAAATGGTTAATACCCTAAGATAACGTGTAGTGATCTATTCAAGAGATATCAACAAAGTAAAGCTAAAGAACTCATCAAACCAAATCTTTTTCTACAAGTTTAACTTATAGTAGAGCTACATAAATATTATTCACTCCGTTTCAAAATATAAGATGTTTTAAAAGTTTTTTTGTTTTAAAATATAAGATGTTTTGACAGTCCTACGTGCTTTTAAACTTTATTGAATATTGTGTGATCACTAGCATTTTGCAGTATCTTTTATGATTGTTTAAATTATTTTTATTATATATATTAAATGATATTTTTTATAAAAAAATAGTTTCTTAAATTCCGCGCTTTTAGCCAAAATAGTTTCAAAATGTAAGTTGTTTTACTTAAAAGCACGCATATTAAGAAACTATTTTTTTACTAAAAAATATCATTTAATATATCTAATAAAAATAATTTGACCAATCACATGAAAGAATGCAAAATATTAGTGGTCATATAATGTTTAATAAAGTTAAAAAGTATTTAGTATTATCAAAACAACTTACATTTTGAAACAAAAAAAATAGTTAAAATAATTTACATTTTGAAACGGAAAGAGTATAAAATAGTGAAGAATATATTCGACGTTTAAATATTATTACAGTTAGTTGGTCATTTTTTTGTTTTCAGCTGAATTTATGGTTGAAAACGTTATTCCGTCAAATACTATTTGCACCCACAATTACCGTTTTCGACCATTTAACAGACTAATTTTTGTATTTAGTATATTTTTTGCAGTTTTCATCGAACAATAACAATTATCTACAAGTAACATGTCTTATCCGGCAAAATATACAAAAATACTCATGATCTCATCCAAAAATTCGTAGAATTTTCTATAAAAAACCAATACGTTATGCTAGATTTACTAGTTTATTTTTAAATAAAAATCTTATATATTACCGTTGATTACTTTTTAGTATGGAAACGTTGTCTTACCCAGGGACGAGAGGGTAAGTAGTAAACCCCCAAATGTTTTTGGCCATAGACAAATCAGTGTGGCAAATTCCACAGAACAAAACTTTGAACCTCACATCTTTTTCTCCCGTCTCCCTGTACACATTAGTTCCACCAAGACTTAATTTCATACACAAAAAAATTATATAGGATCATTCGAAACAAATCGATAGAGAGCAAAATCGTTGAAAAGAAATTGGAACCTTCTTGAGAAACGGAAAGGCGATAGAACCCCGGATTCGTCTTTCGTGGCTAATCCGAACGCTTCCTTCTCAAGAACCTTTCCCATAGGGATAAAAAATAAGAGAATGGGAGTGAGATTTTTCTTTGAGTGACACTAATAATTGAGGAAGTCTAGAGATAACATCGGTTTAATAGAGGAGAGGATTCTAGAACTATGTGACTAGCTAAGTAGTGATCAGGGCCATTACTCATTACCCAATTTTGGACCATATTCACTACGCCCACGAGTATGTGTTTGTGTATATCAATGTGGTACCTTATTCACTACGTCCACCCAATATA